AAGGAATAAAATTCATTTATCAAGAGCCACGAAGAATTACTTCTTCGAAACTTGACCACCCTTGTCATATACGTTCATTAACGAATCAAAAATTAATAAAATTCTTGGTTTGAACTATGTAGTGTTTACTGGTTTATTGTCCTGTTTTAATTTTCTATTAAATCATACGATAAACAATTCATTAATTTATATAAATTTAAGCAGCTATATTAAATTTAAGATCATTATTGAATAATTATAAAATTATCAATAAATTATAATAAATTATAATAAGAAAACAAGTTATTTTTATACTTTTTCTAATGAATTGTTTATTTTATTAAAATTGTCTAAAATATTAGTCTCAGTCTACAAAATTTTCTTAATAATCTCAAATTGCGACTCGTAACAATAATTATTATTTATGTAAAAGAAATACAATACAATAGTATAAATTTCGATTAAACAAATGGATTGTAAATAAGCAAATTTCCCTTAGGAGAAAACATTTTTTAAAAATAACTGTCCTCTATTTAAATTATTCTCATTTAAACTTTTGTACTTTTAAAAAAAAAGTACGACTTGAGATCTTGAAGTAGGTCGGTGAATTTCGAACGGGTGTTGTAGAGCCGCGCCTCGCATCCAGGGGAGAGCACAATAGATTGTTTACGTGAGCGCGGTGCAAATATTTTGTTTAACCAACATAACTACCTATATAGATTTCATTTCTCTGTTTTGAAGAGCATAGAAGTATTGTGAAGAAATCACAGACAGACTGACCGTCGGAACCGGACTTATTTATTTTTAAGACCTATTTATTTTTTTTTGCTTATTTAAATTTTGTTTTAATTATGCTAAAAGTGGAGATGTAATAATTGGAATGTCCTGGAAGTGAATGCTAATGAATAAAAGAAATTTTATGAATGAATGTGGGAGTTTCAATATTTGTTTTCTTAAAAATTCGCAGAAATATTATTAAAATTAATCAATGAGATTGTTTATAAATATTTGTAAATATTTTTCATGAAAATAAAATTATTTGTGTAATTTTTTTTTCTTCACTTATAATCAATTCCATTTACAGAAGTGACATAGAAGCCAATTCCATAATAATTATAGCTCTTTTTCAAGACAATTGAAAATAAATAAGAATTTAAATTATTTATGGAGGGTCATTAATTAATATTAAAAGTTATCTTGAAAATTTTTTGAAAAAAAGAGAAACAAGAAAATTGTAATGTCCACCGAATTATGTTCCGATTTGAGTTTACAAACGTGTAAAAAAATTGAAATGTTTTAATTAATAACAGACGAATTCGTTCAGAATTTTCGATGCCTAAGCTTGGTCGGTTATGTTAATTTTGTTCATTCAAATTTTAATAATGTCCGTAATTCTATGTTCAGTGCGTTGCATCCCAAAAATTAAAACTTTTTTTTGCTATATATGTGCTTATTTAGATATGATAATTTGTTTCCAATGAACAATAAATATAGTAAAGTCTTGTTTCTTTAGTCCTTCATTAATTGGATTCGGATTGTTTGTATATATTGTTTGTTATAAACGATGTTGACATTTGGATGTAAAGTGAACTGTAAATTACAATACCATTGCTCGTTCATGGCGCCATAACTCTACGGAATCATCTCTTGAAATTTTGATTTTATGTGAATGGGTTAAAAATTGTGTTTTCCTAAAGTACAAGTCCTTTACCAAATTGTACCGATTTTGAATAATATTGCGATCAATTTGGTTTTTATACTAAAATTGTTTATCGGTTATTGTAAAGAAGGCAAAAATTTTAATTTGAAGTTACAAGAACATTTTTCTTTGTTTTTTTTTCTTTTTTTTATTTATCTTTCCTTGTTGTTCTACTATACTTGGTAAAATTTATTTTTCCATTGGAAAAATAAATTTTCTTTTGTTTATTATTTACCTGTAATTTTTTTTTATTATTTTCTACAACTTCATTTAATAATAATTTAGAAGAAAATATCAAAAGTAAACAAAAAGAAAAGAATTGAGTAAGAAAATGAAGAGAAATACCTTTTGTAATTATATATACATAAATTTATATGATATATACAAGTATATTATATGTATGAGTCAAGGATATTAATTTTATGGAGGTGAAGTTCAAGGATATTTACAACTTTATTTCACTGTTTCATTTCTCCACCTTTTCAAATCTCGTCCAATATTATTGCTTTTTTTTCTATAAAAAATAAAACAAAATATAAATGAAAAGCAATGGTGAAATAAATAAACAAAAAGGATCTATAAAAATTAAAGTTTTTATTTTTATTTTTACGATTTAAAATTTATTTGTTAGATTTTATGATGTGCTGGAACAAACAACAATGACGGTTATAAACTAAAGGATCCGAATATAATAAATAAAATTTAGTTTTTCTTTCATTTATGTGCTGAGACTATGTAGGTGTATATATTTGTATATGTATGTTGGAATGATATAATATTAAAATTTTTTGGAAACAAATATAAATCCTTTTTTGCTGACCGCATTATATATAATAAGGGAGGTTATATTATGGCCCTAAATTTCGCCCACTTCTCCATCGTACGAAAGTGTAAATATACTATTTTTACCAAGATTTTTGCCTGCCTATTCTTTTGGGATATATTAAACTCCGGGAATTGAACCTTTACTGCGTCCCAAATTTACATTTTTGCTCAAATGGAAAGAAATAATCGAGCAATTTATTTGACAGAATATCTCGAAATTTAATATTTTATTCTGTCAGCTACCGGAACCAATTGACTAATTTTTCATTGAATTCGGGTGGCATGAAATGATTCTCAACCAAAAGTGAAATTTACATTTTTCTAATTACTTGCCTAGCGCTTTTAAAATTTAAAAGGAGAGTTTAAAGGAGATTTACAGAACCGTGAGCTATATTTTTGCTAAACTAAATAATATTCCTTACATTTGGTTGTGTGCACTTTATTTCAATTTAATTTGATTAAAATATTTAAATGAGGCTACATGTATGAATAAATATATTGAGAAAACACAAATGATTTTAAATTAATTTTTCTATTGACGTTATTCTTTTCGCAATTCGAAATTGCAACTTTGTTATTAAGCCCATATATTATAAAAATATGTAAAATATTTTATTAGTTGTATTGGAATCTTTTAAAAATTTTATACAAATTAAAGAAAATTTTCTATTAAATTTATAAATCTATTAACTTATAAAATTTCTATTAAACTTTTCTATATAACTATGAATTAATAAAAATTAGATTTATTTTGGTAATTGAATGCCAAAAAATAATCTGGCAAAAATTTTATTGAGAATAGTACAAGAACATCCTTCTCTATAGATTCTAAAGAAAACTTAATTTAAATTTATGTAACTTACGTAATACGACATAAAGATATTAAGTGAAGCCTATAATAATTTTCTCAAGATGATTATTTATTTGGGTATAAATGACAATTATATAAGATAAACTGAGAATATTTATGTATTTAAAAGCAAAGATTTTAAAATTCTCTTCTTAATTTTTTATGTACATACACATACCACAATGTGTACATTGATTTAATAAGGTAAATAAACACAAGTAAATATTAATTTGTAAGCCAATTATTCCAAAGACTCATATTTTATGTATTTATACTATTTAATTCAAATATTTAATTCAGAATGAATTGAAATTTTTGTTTTATGTTCTTGACCTTGTCTTATACATTAGATTGCAGTATTTCTAAGTTTTTCTTTCATTTTGTTGCTAGAATTAAGAAATGCTAAACTTATTAAAATATATGCCAATGACATACGATTTGTGTATTTTTAAAAATTAAAAAATAGTAGAATTTGCAAAATTTTGTTAAGCCTAAAAATAATTTTTTATAATTAAGAATATAAAGAAAAATTTTTAAGGATACGAGTATTTTTAAATTTTAATTCCAAAAAATATTCATCTTATTATCGACCCCATTGCATACAATAAGGAAGGTTATGTGATGACAATGTATACTTTTTCTATATTTTGGCCTAATAACAGTTTAGGAAATCTCAAAAGTGTTAAAATTAATAAACTGTAAAAAATTTTAATCAATGGGAAGTTGCTTCACTTAAGCGGAATTTATTAAATCAGAAATTACTAAATCACATAGAAGTATTTTTAGGAACACTTTACTTTCATAGTCACTTAGCATTGTATTTTTATTTCTCTAATTTGTATGACTTCAGAGGAATTATATTGAAAGAATTGAGAAAAACGAAGTTAGTAGTAGTGTATAAAGCAATGGGGAGAACAATATACCTCTGTAGCGTTCCTTTGTAGGTGGTAGAGCCTTACAAAGCGGTAGATCACTTGCTCGGTTCCAGTTCGAGGAGTAAAATTTTTTAATTTTTCTACCTTGAATTGTTCCTTTGATTTCGTCGTCGTTCTTTGATTTCGTCGCAATGTTATGAAGGAATTTCCATTTGCTATTCTTATAAGAAATTAATAATAAATATAAACAGCTACACATTGTATTGTTAATTTCTAACATTTATTCACTTACTTTTAGAATAAAATTCCAAAAATATTCAAAATGAAATAAAAAGTATTTGAATTTTTAATCATAATATTCGGTTGCTGTGGGTTTAATTCTTGTCACAATTGTATGAATTTTTTAAATTTTTTATTAAATAAATTTTTTTTCTTTGTCATTAAATTTTAATTATTTTATGTGAAAAATAATCAAGAATTTTCAAGAAATAATAAAGTATAAAAAATTAAAACGTTGCCTTACCGAAAAATTAAAAATACTTTTGAAGACAATTTAATTATCGCACGAAGAAATGGAAGAAACTAATAATATTCCTAAAAATGATGCGAAATCATTATCCTTTTAAAAGAAAACAAAAAAATTACATAAAAAAATTAAAACAATTGCTGTAAATTAAAAAAAATATGCACGTTTACATGTACAAATAAAAAAATATTCTATTACAAATATACATACAAATAAAATAATATTCTATTTTTCTGATATTTTTAGAAATTTTGGGGTTCACAAATGGATCCGCGTCTAGCACAATATATTACAAATTTTTTATTTGGACCTTTAGGATCACGTTCATCAGTCGTAGAATTTCAACGTTTTGCTGAATTATATGTATATTGTGTTAGAGGTACTATTGATGAAAGAATATCAGTGTTATTATCAAGTTTAGGACAGCAAGAAACTGATCATCAATCAGATATAGCTTATCCTTTAATTAAAGAGGTAAGTGTAATATATTATAAGTTTTTTTTATAAGACCTAATTGTGTAGTTATTTTTTTATAAGACCTAATTGTGTTAGAATAGACTTCGGTAAGTACCATAAAAAAGCCGGAAATTTAACAAAATTTAGTGAAGTTTTTTTTGTACTTGATAAAACGAAATGAATATTTTTTATATTAGTTTTTAAAATAAAGTTATGAAGTCGTGTATGTTTGTGTAATTTGCTTGCATTTTTACGCTTTTCTCGTCTAAACTTAATTAATTTCGGACGTTTCGAGAGAAAATTTTCTAAACTTTCTTCATCTCTCCTATAAGTTACATTACTTGAACTAACAAACAGTTACGGGGCGTTGTGCAAATATTAAATAGTAAATAATGAAAATAATTTCTTTTTATACAAAAGAGTCAACTGCAGAATTTAAGAAAATTTTGATTATTAAAATTCACAATTACACAATGATGTAAGAATAAAATTGTCAGAAAACTTTTAATTGTAAATTAATTTTAGATTTTAATTTGATTTTCAAGTATAATTATATCTAAAATAATTTTTAACTCTTTAAAAATTTTAACACGTGATGTACATGTGGAATTTAAAATAAAATTTCATTGTTCTATTTATAGCTTCAAGGGTTTTCAATGTGGGGGTTTTCATAAAAAGTGCAAAATAAAAAATTCCCCCGCCGCAAAGTATGCAATTCCATTTAAGATATTCCTTTCTTTATTTTATTTTTTTTTTAGAATATTTTCTTTATAATTTCTTTTTATTATTTTCCTGTTCTCATTTATCAAATTTCACTATACTATATTATTTTTTATATTCCTTGTATTTCACTGTAGATTTAATTATTAAAACCGTTATAATTAACGTAATTAAGAAAAGAAAAGCACAATGAAAAAAAAAAGGATATGAAAGAGAAAGAAAAAAAATTATCAAATTATATGAAATATAAGAAAGAAAAATAAAAATGTTGGTAGAAAACGCGATATTTTCCTCTCGTAAGATTGCTATTCATTTTTCATATACCTACTTGTAAACTTAGGGCTTTTTTATGGGTTTCTAAATTTAAGAAGAGTTGAATTACCACAGACTAATGTTGAATTTAATGCGTTTTCATAATAAAATATAATATGATCTTTATTATCCATATAATAATTTGTAATGGTATATTTATTGTGAATATGTATGTAATTTTATTCTGTTTAAAAATTTAAGCGCATGAAAATTTTATTAAATCTTTAAATATTAAACATATTTGGAGAGTTTCTGTGAAATACATTGAAGGAATTTAAAAAGAAAATTTTTGAATTTGAATTGTGATTTTCAAATTTTGAGCAATTTTATAAAAGAAACTCTGCCGAATTGAGGTCTTTTAATATTTTTAATTATCTTTAACCTTCAAACAGATTCGAGAATAAGCCTGTAACTTTTCAGATACTTTCTTCGTAAATGAATTTTGATTCAAGAACTAAATTCTAAGGTTATAGAAAGTGATTTATGTCTAAAATTTTTTATTTTAACTTTTGCTTAGCATAATTTTTCATATTAGTTTCATGATAATTTCTAAGATTCAATCAATTATTATGTTTTCAGAACATTTTAGAATTTTGGTTAAGTGGTTTAGTGGGAGATATATTTTAGTGTCAATCAAATTTATACTTTACTCACAGAGTTATTTTTTAAAATTGTTAAATATATTAAATGTACATATGCATCATGGTAATTTTAAATATCCTGTAATTTAACATTCGATATAATCCTTGGATAATTGAAAATCTTTCGAAGAATACCCGTACATAAAATGATAGTGAAAGAATCAAAACACTATGCGAAAAAACTGTACTGCAATATTAATTTAACTTATTTGGCATCGTGTAAATTACAAAACTCAAACCAAATAGTCGACTTTATTTATATAAATTAAAATAAATTTTAATTTAATATATTCAACCCAATATTTCAATATTGCGGTTAACCTTTATTAAATTTTTTTTCCATATAACGTGAATATATTTTTTAACTTTACCCATATTTTATTCACATTTTTTTTTGCGGAAGTGTGCGATACCATTTTATATCATTTTAACTATCATGGCATACAATATACATAAAATATATTATTAATACTTGTGTATTATATAGTATTGTGTAATTATATTTAAATGTTGATTTTACGTCATGCGATAATGGAATACGACAGTAATAGGAAAATGGAAATCCTTATTATTTTGTTTTGTGAGAGAGATGGTGGGGAGTTGAGTGGAAAGAACATTTAATATTATTATTAGATACAATGTTCATATTATTTTTCAAATTAATTTAGAAATATGAGAAAATATGGAAATGGAAAAATATTATATCCGTTGGTTAGGAAATGTTTATGAGAGATGCATGTGAGAGTATAGAAAAGGTTGCATTTTTTTTTTATTCTTTCTCTTTTAGCTATGATACAAGGTAATGAAAAAAAAGAACAAAATAATATATAGGATAAGGATATCTTTAGACAGTATGACGACAAAAAATATAAAATTATATCCTTGGTGATATTTTAGTATACAAGAGAAAAAAGTTTGTTTACTCTTAATATTAAATTTTGTTTTATTTTTGGTAACACAACCTGTTCATAGAATAAATGTAGTGATAATGATGACAGTGACGATAATAATAATAAAACTTTTAGGTAAAAGTTGTGTTTTGTTATCAGTGGGTAGTTTTCTTTATTAAAATGATTTTTCATTGTGTTTTTCGGTTCTTTAAAAAAATAATACTTGCAAAATAATTTGTGGGAAGAAAGCAAATATCTTTTAAATGTTAAAATATGTACACGCAGTCAATAATAAATTATAAAATTTTTTAGACGACATTTCGAATTGAATTTAAAATTTATTTTAAGCAAGGATTTTGTATTAAAAGTGGCAGATGAAAATTATATTTTCCTATCGAATATTTATATACCGAATAATTAATTTTTGATTGCATTACAACTCAATATTTTAACATAATTTTAATATTCTAAATATTTTTATAGTATGTTGAAGCGGTTGTAAGTAGTTATATGCGTGCATTAAGATTACAATCTGGTAATGAATATAAATCATGGGAAAGTAAAGGTTTTCGTATTATTAAAGAATGTATACAAAAATTAGCTGAAAGTTTAGCATATGATGTTGTACAACAAGGTACACAAAAAGTAACACGTGAAGATGCTGAAAGATGGTTACAACAGAATCCAACATTTTTAAGAATGCTTGAAGAAGTTTTTATACATTTATATAATTATAGAGCAACAAAAAGTCCACAAGATGAAGGTGTTATAATGAGAGTATCACCTGGTGAAGAAAAAGGACCATTATTACCATTTTGTGAAGGTATGTTTAAAATGTGTAATGATTTTAGTATTAAATTCATTTAAAACATAAGTAAATTTTATTCTTAAAATTTCCGCCCATGAAACAGTAATTAATAGTTAATTAATTATTGTTTTATACAATACAGATTGCACAAAATTTGATGATCATCTTAAATGCATAAATATGTATGTATATGATTTTGATCAGCGTCGAATTCTGAGTCGATATATTTATGTCTGTCTTTTTGTCCGTCTGTTTATTCGTCTGTCTCACCGAAAACTTAAATCTTTTTCACTTTATTTAGATTTATTATTGCCAAAATTCTATTCATTCATGGAATTCTATTTCATTAATGGAACTAAAACGGTTCGAACAGCTTTTACATCACTCATAAAATAAATAAGTCAGATATTGGAATCTCTAAAGTTAAAACGTTACTAGATTTTTCATAAATTAATTTAGTAACAGGTTCAATAAGTCCTAAAAGATATAAATTCAATAATTCTTACAACAGCCGTCCTACAACTTCAATATTATGTGTAATATTAATTTATGTTTTAATTTCTCAGTTCTAAAAGGTTTAAATTTGGTGTAAAAGAGATTGGCAACAAGTATACAACTAACAATTATTCCAACTGAACAACAGTTCTTCCAATAGAAATTGTATTTAATTCTTCCAAAAATTTCTGACTATTTTTACGAACATCTGTTACAAAACCATTGGCGCAGTAAACTTAATATTTTCTCCTTCTTGATTTATTTTGAGTGAATTACATGAAAAAAAATAGTTGCCTAGAAATAGGCAATTTTTAGCATATTTTTAATTTTATTTTCTTTTTTTCTTTTCAAATTTTTTTTTCATAATAAAAGGATTACAATACGTTCCTGATTATCCAGCTTTTACAGATATATCACAAATGCTTTTTATTAATTCAAATTTACCAGCTCAATTTCGTACTAAATGGAGATTTTTATTTTCATCACAAATTCATGGTGAAAGTTTTTCAACATTATTAGGACGTATTATGGATCAAGGTCCAACTGTATTAATTGTTGAAGATTCAAATGGTTATATATTTGGTGGTTTTGCACCAGATTCATGGTCTTTAAGTCCAAATTTTGTTGGTAATGATACTAGTTTTATATTTACATTGCGTCCAAAAATGAGATGTTTTCCAACAACTGGTTATAATGATCATTATCAATATTTAAATTTACATCAACAAACTATGCCTAATGGATTGGTAAATTTTTTTTATATCTTATTGATTAATAGTAATAAGAAAATTAAAATATTTTACTTTATTTTAAAGTAATTTTTAAAATAGAAACAAAACAAAATAAAGTTTTAAAATAAAAAATTAAAAAAATTTTATTTTTAGGGAATGGGAGGACAATTTAATTATTGGGGCCTATGGTTAGACAGTGAATATGGTCAAGGTGAATGTTCAGAATCCTGTACCACATATAAAAATTATCTTCAATTAAGTATAAGTAAACAATTTAAAATTCGTAATATAGAAGTATGGGCTGTCGGTGAAAAACCAACCAATGAAGATGAAGAGGTATACAGAAAATCCAAAAACAAAATTAAACTAGAAATTTCAACAAAAATTAAATACTCTTCCTTCAATAATCTGTTAAAAATTTCCTGTTTTTTTTTCGTAATTCTAAAGAAATGTCTATTACAAGTAATTTGCCTAACACTCTGGAGATTGAGCAGATTTTCATTGATGTTTTAGGAAAAATATTCATAAATATTTTTATTCAAATTGTTTTTTTAAGTAGTTTTTTAGTATTTTTTTATGGAATTCATTTTTTTATTTCAATTTATTGTAGAATCAATCATTTCTTTAACTATATATTTTATTAAAATTGCTAGAAACATTATACTTTTTTTTATGAAATGCGATGATAAATTTATAATTTTATTTTCATTGACAAAATATAATACTAAATTTGCTTTTAGTAATTAATTACGATTAAATTGTGTTTCAAAATATCTAGGTATGTGTATATTATATCAAAGCTACATCAATTTGAATAATAATGACAGGAAACTTTATTTAACGATATATCGATATATGATTAACACAGTTTAATGTTAGTGATTAATTGGTTTTGTATGTTAATCATACAGTGATTGTCGTAAATACTCATGACATGTTAAATAAGTACATATAATATTTTCATAAAGAATTTTTGTTCAACAAGTAATAAGTTGAGTTCAAGTTTTCAGATCTTAAAAAGTAATTCTTATGTTTTCAAAAACAGTTTTGAAAAGAGAAAAATTCTAATGTAACAATCTGCTTTTGACACGTCAATTTCAAATGTATTGAAAAGTTTAATTTTCATATATACATAATATGTAAGTAGCTACTTACTACTTACTTAGTTTCAGACACAATTTCACAAATTTATAACTTTTAAAGATTTAACAATTTTAAAATTGTTTAAAAAGTTTTTATTTATTAACAAATTAAATGTTTTCAGAAATTTTTAAGTTTTATTTAATTAAAAATTTAAGGTCAAATTCTTTTCTTATTAATGGCAAAACAAATTTAATACTGCAAGAATTACTGAAGTTCTTTTACAGTTTTACAATTAAAAATGCATAATTTTTGGCAGTATAGATACAAAAACGCAATGTTGTTTGAATTATTATTATTAGTGATTTCAAAGATTGTTCCTCAACAAAACGAAGATTTTCCCGAATTTTCAATTGAATTTACTTTAATAAGTAAGTTAGTAAAGATAAACTCTTATCAATTATGATAATATTAATTTAATATTAATTGAATAATTATCCCGTTTATATAATCTTTTAATTTACTTTTTGTTTAAAGTGTTTTTGAAGGAAAATTAAAATAATGACATACAAAACAATACATATATGTATTTAGGTTCTTTTCACATTTTACAAATTCCGACACGGTTTAAAAAACATTGTGTTACGACATACATTTGTTCTACAAATTTGATCTCAATTTCTGTTCAAAATTTTAAGTATGATCACTGTACTATACCGACTCTAGGATAGAATTATATATTAAATTATATGTGCATATATATGTACGTATATTATGATTTTATATAAATAGAAGCGTTCATAATATGTGCACATTTTCATTAATAAACGAAAATTATGTTAATACATTTAAACTGTTATGAAAATACATATCATGTATACTTATGTGTATGAAAATGTTTACTTTTCACATGTAAATGAAAATAGGGAAAAAAGCAAAAAGGATAAAATAGTTAATTTATGCATCATATTTGTAATAATTTTTGTATTCCAAGTGTACATATATTCATAATTAATTAGATTTAAAAAGGAAATATTGTGTATTGAAAATATTAATGAAAGCAAGAATATTAATTCAAATGAAATGTGTTATGGACTAATGAAGAATAGGAAAACAAAAAATTATTAAAATTAATAATCAATATATGTATGTATATATATTTATAATTAATAGATATAAGTGTATGCATATATTAAATATAAGTATAAATGTTGAAATGAATATATTACACATACGAGTATGTTCATATATGTATGTATATTCAATTAAAAATATTTATTATTAGATATTATTTTAAAAAATAATAAAAAATTTCTAAAGCGTATTGAAAAGTTTAATCTCCAAGTATTATCAATATTAGGCTTATATGCCAAAAGAAAATAGTAAATGTAATGAGTGTTATGTATATGAAGGGTTTATATAATAAGTAGAAGGATGTATTATAGAATCAATAAATAGTCTATGTGGCTTTTTCTTCTTCCCTGTACTGTTATTAGTTTTTTTTAATACAATATTTAGTATTAACTATTGTTGTACCTACCTAAATTTTAATAAATCATGTTTTCTTTTAGTAAAATTTTATTTTTTATTCGAATAATATTCTAGTTTTTAATATGTATTTATTAAAACAGATAAAATACTGATCATTATTAATTCTTTTTAATTTAAAATTACCAACTTTCAATTTAATTTATACATAAGTCTTAAATTTTAAACAACTTGATTTAATTTAGAATATTTATTTTTAAAATATTTTTTTGTGTTAATTAAGTAGTTTAAATAATTAAAAACTTGAAGTAAAATGATGAGAAATAATAAATTTATTTTACATCTCAGTAATTATGACTAACTACGATCTAAGACATATTATAAATAAAACACAATTTTTTAAAGTAAAAATATTTTATTAGCAAGTAAAAACTTAAAATTTTTATGAATATCGTTCATATTTCACAAAAACGCTTCTGTAAAAAATTTTGAGATGTGTATTCATAAAATGGTGTAATATTTGCACAGCTTCAGTTATCCTTGTTAAGTGAAATTGGAATATCTCGATATATTAATATACATCCACAAGGAACATATTATAAATAATCAGAATTGCTTTTTTTTCTTATTCTCTTTAGTAAAAAATAAATTTTGCTTTAATAATATTTTTAATAATATTTTTAAAAATTTTGTTAAAGAATTTCATTCGACGTAAATAACTTGCAAAATTCAAAAACTAAATTTAAATTTAGCTAAAATGATTCCCTATTTATGAGTTACAACTTTTTTTATTCAGCAACCTACAATCTTATACATTGCAATATAATATTGATAATATAATGTTATAATTTTAATAATAATATAATAATATTACTTCTTTTTTAGGTTGATGAAAATCAAACCACTGTATTGAAATCATATAAAGAAGATCAAGCATTCTTAGAATTAGCTGGACGTCAATGTTATTCGGATGGTTTTAAGGAAACGGAACCGACAACATAATTAATATTTGACCCTTTTAATTTAATTTAAATATGAATAAAGCTTAAATATTATTAATTGTTATATAAAAAAATATTATGAATTTATTTCTTTAAATAAGTTATAAAAATCAAAAACAATAACTGAAAAACTGGAAATTATATAAGGTTTAATTAAAAAAATTTTTAATGATTATGTTTTTAATGAAATTTATAATCAAAAAAAAATAATATTAAAGTGAATGGTATTTTGAAATTATTAAAATTTAGAGATCGTGAATGAGTTTTTGATAGAACAAAAAAATAAGAGTTGAAAAGCAACAATTTATATTTTTTTCTTTTATTTTAATAATATTAATTTTAATATTTTATTGTTATATCCTTAATTTTATTAGAATACATCATAACAAAATTAAAAAGATAATTTTATTTATTGTTTTAAAAAAGCTGAAAAAATATTAAATTAAAATGGGTCAAATGAATAAAAATCAATTAAAAGATTTAATAAAATTCAAAGAAAAAACAAATTGTAATGACAAAATGAATTGTAGTTTATAATTAATAAAAAAAAATTAATATTAGAAATCAAAATAATGTAATTTAAATTTTAAATAATTGGTAAATTATTGTACAAAGTAATATAAAAAATTTTTTTTGGGGAATAATTTTTCATACGTCGATTGTAATGTTTTATACATGGTCAAAAGCATTTTTATTTTTTTTAAAAATAGTGCCATAGATCAATAAATTATTTTAATTGTAAAATTAATTTTAATAAATTTAATTTAAATTTGATTTCTGAGCTTTTTATATACTAATTAAATAAAATGTACCTGTATTTCATTTAAGCTAAATTTCATATAAATTTTAGTGCTTTTGTATTTGAAAATTAAAATTTGTAAAAAAAAGATATCATAAGTATATTTAAATGCAAAAGCTGTTTAATTGATTTTGTGTTTAAACATACTTAATTTTGCTACTTCCATTTATATATTTTTCACAAATTGTTACAAAATATTTAAATGTTTTAAAAAACTAAACTTAGCTTTATTATTAAGCTAAAATAATACTTGTAATTTAAATTTTAAGTGTTTTTGGCCATATATAACATAAAATTTAGTAAAGAAGAGTAAGCCAAAAAAAAAAATAGAAGAACAAAGAATGAAATTTTTTAATATCCTCATAACTTAATCCTTAACATTATATAAAACTTTCTATGTATAGATATTTGTCAATGTAGTTTTTAGTAAAATTCAAAAATGAATGAACACCATTAATGAACTTAATTCAGTGGATTTGATTTACAAGCTGGATTTAGTTTTATTATTGCTTTTATGCATTGATGAATTTAACTTTTTTTAATTTTAAAAATTTGCTAATAATATCTTTGAAAAAAAAAAAAAATTACTAAGAAATATTTTTTCTAATTCATAAATATGTATTTAAAACAATAGAAAATAGCCTAAGAAAGTTTTACAAAACCGTATTTGAAGAAAAATAGAAAAAAAAACATGTAAATAGAATGGTTGTCTCATGTTAAAATTTTTTATCTTGTTAATATTAAGCCTCCTTTTACTTCCTTTGTTTTCTAAAAACAATAATAAAATACTTTTGAAAAATGAATAAATAAATTTTTAGGGTTTTTCGATAATTCAGATTTAATCATTTTCTAAACATTTTGTATAAAATAAATTTAGATTTAATACACGTATTGAATAAATTGTAAAGTTTATACTCATTAAACTTTAATTTACTGTAATAGCGTAAGGCATTGAGATCATTTAAGTTTGTTTTTAAATAAATAAATAAATTAAAAGAAAAACTAACAAAATTTTAGAATATAAAATAGCAAGTTCGATAAATTTCTGCCACAAAACAGCACGTTCTACAAAATTGCAGCTATTCTTAAAGTTTTTAAGCTCTTTTAAAGCTGTATCATTAAGCTAAAAAAATAATTTTATTTAGAAAAATGTTGTAAATATATAGAAAAATGTCGAATATTGAGGACATTACAAATGTTTAAAAGTAAATTATTTAAATTTTACAAATTTTCAGAAAGATTTAAGTTAAACATTCGTTTAAATATATCTGAATTATCGAAAATCACCAATCTCTTAAAGTACCTACATTTTGAAATTTGGAAATTTTTATAATAAAAAAGAAAAATAATAAATATTTTTTACTTCAAGAAATTATTCTTAATATTGCAATGCATTAAACACTAAAGGTTTCTTTATATCAGATTACAAGACATTTTTGAAAATATTGGATAAATGAAATTTTCATAAAATTTCCTATCGAAAAGAATTTCTTAAATTATAATTAAATTATGATAGAATAAAACCAGTTTGCATAAAATAATATATGAAAAAAAAAGTTTCAAGTTCAATATGGTTTTCTATGAAAACCAATATAAAAAAATTTTTATAAAAAATTGGTTTAAACTTACATTATCTATTTGTACTGAATTCAAACTTGTGTATTTCAATTCAGTTCTAAGTTATATCAAGATAAAAAAATTTAATATTATTTTCAAAATCATTTAATTCTTAACTTTTCATATGCTTTTTTAAATAAATAATTAAAATTTAAAATATTTTTTTATAATAAATAATAAAAAGACATGATTGAATAAAATTTTTGAATTACCTTTGCATTCTAAAATGCAACAATATGAATTTTTCAATCCAATTGTATGTGAATTAGATTAAAAATCGTGTTATTGCGTTATGGAAATTAAGAATAGCTAGGTTAAAATATATACAATAAATAAAAATTTAAATATGGATCTATCTACGATCTCTTTATCAGGAATAGAACAAAAAAATTAATTAAAATAATTCTTTTCTAAAGATTTCTAATTTCAAAAATAACACTAACTAATTTTCAGAAATTAAATAACAAGTAATAAATATATTATTTGAAAGTACAGTAATAGTATTCAAAATGTTCATAACGTTAATCAAAATAATATTTAACCGGTTAAATCCCTTATAAAAAAAAGGGTTCTATGAAAAGTTTATATTATTTTACAAATTTTGTTAATTTTCCATTTATGTTTTTTAACCTAGAACATAATTATAACGTAAAATTAAATTTATACAAGATTAATATAGTTTAATTCTACAAAAACGATTGAGAATTTCGGTTTTCAAAAATTAGTTTAAATTATTTAATTTAATTAAAATTTGTTTTGGTATTTTCAACTTAATTTCTTTTTTTGTAAAAAATTTAAATCTCCTTATAGGTGAAACTACGAAAAATGGAATCATTGTAACTGTAGTATTACAGTACATGAACAGATATAAAGATACAATTTCTATTTTAAAGAAATTGTTATGCCTATACAAACGTAAATTTAAATAAAATTATAAATATATTAAGAAAAAATCCATATTAAGGAAGATGATAAAAATTAATTCTTTACAAAAAATTAAAACATTCTTGTTTTAATAAACATACGAGTACATAAGTAAATATATTTTTATAAAATAAAAAAAAAAAATCCAAAAAAAAAAACTAATTTATTCAGTTTTGTCCTAAATATAAGGAATAAATAATTTAATACACAAGAAATTATTGAAAATAAAAATTTAATAGAAGAGGAAAATGCATGCATACCAAGTAGTGATAAGAAATTTTTGTTTTTTCTAAAATTTCTTTTATAAATACATAAGTAGTTATATAATAGCCCTTATATTAAAAACTCCTGAAATTTTATTTAAAAAATAAATTTTCAGGAATTAAAAATCAATTTGCTTAATCTATTCTACAATTAATATCAGCTTAATTATTATAATTTTCAACTATGGAAATAAATGTTATTCTAGTAATTCTAAACTATATAAATAATGAAAAATATATTCCTTTAATTTAGTAAAATTACACGCTCATAACACAGAAATAAATAGATTCTGTATAATTTAACAGAAATTAATTATAACTATCAACAAATAAAAATTTATAAAATAAAATCTAAATTAAATTGCTATAAAAAATATCCTATTCATTAACCATATGAAATTTCTAAAAAATTTGAAAAATAAGTAATAAAAAAAACTTAATTATATTCGCCCACGAATTTATAATTTTTCGAAATTTAAGGGATAATTACACAAAAACAAACAAATTTCAACTTAATTCTTTTAGGTAACAGAGTTTGGACAAAGATGGATGTCATGCAATTTCATATTATATTTCTTTTTCATTTAAAAATTTTTGTATTTAAAATATTGAAACTATAAAATAGTTATAAAGTTGCTTCTGTAGTTTATTTTAACTATACACGAATTTTAAATGCTAAGATTTTAAAATAATTAAAGTTTAAATTGGGATGAATCAAATAGATTAAGCATTATTTAATATTTCAAATATTGTTCCAAATAAATAATAATGATTTACTACATTGCAGTAGTTATAATATAAATTTTAAATTTCAAAGATAGTTTGTAAAATAAAAGTAATTTCAATATGGGTGAAAAAATTCCAAAAGAATTTTTTTTACTTACAACCATAATCCTTGAAATAATATGGTCTTCTCATTTGAAGTAGTATGGTATTGTTTTTTTGTAAAATTATTTTCAAAATTTTAAACTTTAATACTTAAAAATACTTTTATATAATATTTTATCATATTAAGAGATGCGTCTAGAAGAATAATATGGATGCTAACTAAACAAAAAACCTAATGATTAAATAATAAACCTTCTTATGACTTTCAAATGCAAAGAATTAGAAAAACTAAATTTGATAGTTTTCTATTAAATATTAATTTATTATTGACACAGAAGTAAAGTTATGATTATTTATAGTTATACAAAAAGAAATGAATGAATAAATTTAAAAATATTAAAAATTTTTAATTTTCAGATCTAAATTTATTTTTCATTATTACAATAAGGAAAATCAATTGCCATAGGTATGCACATTCAAGTGTATAATGGAAAATGTTAAAATAAAGCTAAAGCAAAAATAAAAATAAAAATTGTTGTTTAGAAACTCTGTAAAAACTTATAGAAAGAAAAAAACTATCTGTTCCGCAAAAAACAAAATTTTGATGAAATATAATATAAAATTTATTTATTAAAATAATTTGGAATTTGTTTTTCTTATTTTGCTAGTAACATATTCCTTATTATATTTATAAGGCTGCAATAATAACAATTGATAATTTTAAAAAAAGTTGTTAATGTTCAATTATTCTTCTAATAAGTATAAATATTTTTGAAACGTTCAGATGTTTTATTAACAAGCATTCCAAATTATGATTCTATTAGAGTTGAGAAGCTTCTGTTTAGTTTCGTTGTTTTACTTGTTTAGCTAAATACTTTCGGCATGCTTGCAAACGATGCCGATTCATATAATTCTTTTGGCTGAATGCTTTTGTACATTGTGAACATTGATATTTCCAATTATGGTGACCTTTAGTTCTTTGATGTGCTCTCAAATTAGATCTGTCAGCAAAGCATTTATTACATGATTCATGAGGGCATTTAAATGGTTTTTCACCAGTATGTAATCTTGTATGTCCTTGTAAAACCCAAGGCCGATCAAAGTCTTTATTACAATGATGGCATTTGTAAATTTTTGGTATCTTTGTAGTTTCATTCATTTTTATATTCAAGTTCAAAACCCCATACATATTTAATTTGAAACTTTCATCTATAAAATTTAAATATGTACATACAATGTATGTACATATGTATAAGACTTTGGGAGTATCAAAAAATTTAAAAATGTAAAATATAGAAATTATTTACTATTGCTTTTTGGGAAACCTTTATATCTTTCCAAAATTTCAAATCCGAAAATTCTTTCAAGTTGAAAGCGTGTTGTTATGGAGATTTGATTGCTGCTATACCTATGTAATAAGAATACAATTAAGTATTATGCATTATACGGCTAGCATATAAAATTTATGTTCTACATTTATGTTGCCAAATTTTGCTGCATGTATTGATGTATGTACATTATACATATTTCTTTAAAGTCTACCATAGGAACTTACCAATCACTTGATTTTAATATTTTCGTACAACGATCTGTTTTTTTTGAATTCAAATTGGATTCAGTGAAGGCAGGAAACTGTTTCTTCTCTTTAATTTTCGGCATTGTTACAAGATTTGGAAATAACATTGGAAATTTTTTGATTATTTCTACAATTTTAAAACAGAACAAAATCTTTAAAGTCTTATTTTAAATAATGTCTACTTACCATCTAATTGATTATTTATTTTTATTCTTTCACTATCGAATCTTGAAGAAAATATACTACGCGGCATATTAGAAATTCTTAAGATACGAATTTTCACCTGAAAATTGCCAACTTTTATCGTATGGCTATTTATTATATACAGACATAAGAATATTTAAATTATTATAGTTTTCTTAAATAAAGAATAAATTAGAATTTTTTAAATTCGTTGAAATATCAAAGGTAGTCTACTTAGTTCAAAAATCAAAAAATAATCTCAAAAATTGAAAATTTTTGAAAAAAAAAAATTAAAGGTCTTCAAAACTTTAAACATAAAGAGACAACTTTTTACAACGTTTTTCTTAACTTTGTCTCTTGTTAATTTGTATGGTAAATCAATATAATTGAATTTTTTTAAATTTTTTACCGAGCTCCAAAATTTTTTTCTGGCCCTAAATGGCCCTTCCGGGTTCCTTTTTGCTAGATCAAACGCTCTTAAATGTAGTCAAGTAGGGTACAGTTGAAAAGGTCTCGGCATGCTTTTCAAATTTTGTTCGAGTATACCCCTGAAAATCCGTTTTTTCCATTTCCCAAAATGCGTCCAAAGCTTTCGGTGTGCTCTAATCTTTTGCGTGGCCAAAAATATGTGTATGTATGGATGTACATTCAAAAATTAAAAATAATTTAAATTTATGACATAAGTTGTTTTTATGAGTTAAAAGATAATTGTAATTTGAGGGCTTTCAGCTGCCAGTTGATATTTGACTTTTGACAAATGACAATTGACAGTTGACAGGTGATAAATGATAGATAACAGTTGACCAGTGACAAATAATAGATGACAGTTGACAGATTACAGTTGCAGATGACAGTTGACAGGTGACAGATGACAGTTGACAGGTGACAGTTGACAGATGACAGGTGAGAGTTGACTGGTGACAGTTGGTGGCAGGTGACAGCTGACAGTTGAAAGGTGACAGTTGACAGGTGACAGGTGACATTTAGCAGGTGACAGGTGACAGATGACAGGTGGCAGATGACAGCTGACAGTTGACAGGTGATAGATGACTGTTGACGGCTGATAGTTGACAGATGATAGTTGACAGGTGGCAGATGACATTTGACAGGTGACATTTGAAAGGTGACAGATGACAGTTGACAGATAACAGTTGACAGGTGACAGTTGACAGATGACAGGTGACAGTTGACTGGTGACAGGTGACAGATGACAGTTGACAGGTGACAGATTACAGGTGACAAGTGACATTTAGCAGGTGACAGATCACAGATGACAGTTGACAGGTGATATTTGACAGGTGACAGGTTACAGATGACAGGTGACAGTTGACAGGTTACTGAGAATAATAATATATAGTTTTAAATCAATACAGCTGTAATACTGATTTTACTGACTCTTTAAAATTTCGTTTTTTTCAATTGCATTTTCTGCAAAATAATGTGAATGTTGCATATGTCACTCTGCTTCTGAGCCCCTCATATATATATTATATATATTCAGTTCTATTAATATATTTCGATCCTATGGTTATAATTCGTTGCTATGGCTATATTTTGCTTTTATGTACATACATCACTTTCGGTTTTATGAACTGTGAATATAATTAGGTCCAATGGATAATTCTGCCCTATGGATATAATTCTGTCCATTGGATATGTCCGAGCCTATGGATATAAATCGGTCCGATCTACATATTACGGTCCTAAGGACATAATTCGGGCATATGGTTATTATTTGGTCCTACGGATATAATTCGGTCCTGTCGAAGTACTGTTTATTGTCCTATGGATGCATTTCGGTCCCATAGTTATAATTCGGTTCTATGGTTATAATTCGGTCCTATGAATGTAACTCGGTCCAATGAATATATTTCTGTCTTATAGTATAATACCGGCCTACGGATATATTTCGGCCCTATGGATGTGCTTCGATTCTATGGTTATAATTTGAATATAATTAGTTCCTATTGATATATTTCGATTCTATGAATACAATTCGATTGTGTGGATTTGATTTTGTCCTATGGATGCAAATCGGTTCTATGGGTATGATTTGGTGGTATGGAGGTAATTCGACCTTATGGTAAAAACATATATTCGATGTAATTCGGTTTTATGGTAAAAACATATATTCTAATTAATCATTGTAAATGAGGTCAAGTGGGGCATTGTCGAAAAGATCTCGGCATGTTCTAGAAATTTTGTTCGAGGACGCCCTGAAAATCGATTCAGCTAGGATCCGAGCCTCTAAAAGAAGTCCGGAAAAGCGTAAATTGAAAACTACGTATGTATATATGAAAATGTGATGCTTTAAAGTGAAGTCAACATTTGAAATCTTTCTACTCATTGACATTGATAACAAAAATCGTTATAAGTTTTCGTAAATCATAAAATTTTGTCCTAAAATATGAAATTATAAAGCAAATATAGGCATAAGTATAAGTATTACGTTATGTTTAAATGATAATTGATTATTCATAGGTATATTTCTTGATTGCATAAACATTTAGGCACGTTTTTATTAGTGTGTAATGCTTATAGGTAAGCATCACGTATTTCATGGCGGAAAATAGTTTTTAAATTAAGAGCTTTAAAGTTTACAGACGTCAAATTTTGTTATTTAGTTCGCATATAGTACACTCTATTTTTTTTAAATATTTTAAGCATTTAGACATACGTACGTTAAATATGTAGTTGACAGCTTGAATGTAGGCATACATAAAATTTGACTAGTTAATAAATCGGATTAAAAAAAAGCTTTCAAAATTTCAAAATTTATACCGTTATTACGATATTCTATTAAAAGTAAAATGTTATGATGTATTCTTATTTATATAACGTTTTCCTGACATTATTTGTTTTTCATTATATCAATCTTATGTCAGAACAAATAGAAAATTTATAGTATTTTCAATTGTTTTGAAATTGTCGTGAATTTCGATAAAATTAGATGAGAGAAAGAAATGAATTGTCTGCTTAAATTAATTTGTCATTACTCATTAGTATAAGCTTTTCCTCTCTTAATATTTAATTTCTATTATAACATACTCGTAGGTACATATTAGTTTTATTTTATACTCAAATTTTACTCTTAAAATGCACAAAAGCATTAACTCTCTTTTATGAAATTATTAAAGGAAAGCTTTTTAAAATTTTCCAAAGAGAAATTTCTGTATTCAGTTTTAGTGTTACTTATACATACGTTATACGTATATGTGTGCATGTACTGTACGATATATATAGAACCTGGTAAAACTATTACTATATAGGGCTAAGAAAACTCGAGAGGAATAACATATTTATTTTATATATGATTGTATAGCTGATTCAATTATACTGTTGTAGATAAAGCTGTAAAAAATTAAAATAAGCTTCCTCTACTTGTTAATTTTGAAAACATTAAATAATTTATTTTTAAATGAGGCATAATTTATATACAAAGAAGAGAACATGCGTATGGTCCTATACAGAGTCGTTTAGGAATTCAAAACAAAATTGGAATACACGATATGTTGGTGTATTTTAAAAAAATACCAGATAATTTTGTTCAATTTTAATCAGAACACAATAAATGTTCAAAACATTTCTAATATTTTTAGAAATTTTACGAGATTATATGTAATTAGGTATATATATCACGTTTCTTACACATATTCCGGGTTTTCTACGGTAAAGCATTTTTTCGTTTTAGGGAAACCATGCACTTTTTTATGGTAGGTTTTGTCTCGTGTTTTTTCAATCCGTGTGTCATAGGCTAATTTGACATTTTAACCATATTTAACAAATCATTTGACATTTAAAGTTTGAGTTCTGTTAAGCATCGGAGTTAACTAGCAAAATTTTCGGTGAATTTGGACGGCGTAATTAAAATAAATTTCCGTTTTTCTAAGTATTTGAAAACATTCCATTTTTCTGAGTAACTAAGAGTTTATTATAGCATCCTTAAAGTTTGGTAGAAATATTTAAAGGACATTTTAATAATCAGCAGAGATTAGACTCTCTTTTTTCTGAGAAAATTTATTCCTTTACGCTACATAATATTTCAAAAATTTACCATTTCTAACATTAAAATTCTATTTACAATTGCTTACTCACAACCCAACACTACATATATGGATATTCGTGTAATGTCCATTTATTGAGCGAAAATGAAAAAGAATTTTCTACCGAGAGAGAAATGAAAATTTTTTGTTTGTTTTTTTTTTCTTGATATAAAAAAGAAAACTTGTAAATCGTAATATTATGCAGACCGCCGTAAAATCATTGTAGTATAAATAAAAAAAAATAGCTACACCAACATTCAACAATAAGAATAAATAATGGAAAAAAACAAAAAAAAAAATAAAATAATAAAATAAATTTTCTAAATGCTTATCGCAAATAATTTAATTTCACTTTATTATGTCTCCTGTGCTAAAAATATAAGAGAAAATTTTCTATGTTATCTGTAAAATCTGCAATATATAGCAAGGTCTGTTCTATCTTCTGCTTTCTTCCTACGTTAAAAAAATGTTATATTGTTATATTATACGTACCTATATAATAATATATATTATATACTGGTATACTATAATATATATATAATAACGTATGTAAGCATTTATAAAATGAAATGAAGAGGAAAGTTTTCTGACATTTCATATGTATGTAGGTATTTTATTTTTTATATATTAACAAAATATAAAATTTAATATTGTAATATATAGTACACTATAGCTTTTGTTCAGGTGGAAGTATATAACTACAAATTTATATTACATATTATTATATATACACAAAAAATCAACAAAGAAAATTTTCACATCAAAGCATATCGCATTTTAGTATAACATTGAGCCACACGCAATTTTAGTATAACATTTTGCCGTTCATTCGTTCGTTGAGTGCTTTTTTCTATAAAAAATATATAATAGCATAGTATGAATATATATATATATAGGAGTATGTGCATGTATTTATATTATCGTATGTATTTTTATATTTTTCAATTTTTTATTTTCTTTTACTTTTATTTTTTCTTATTCGTTTTTTCTTTTCAAAATCAATTCCAACTCAAACTCAACAGAAACT